AGTACACATAGGTGGAATTTCCTTCGGTGTATAATGGTGCATACATAAACAAAGTGAGAACTTTTATACAATTTAAAAAACAAAAATAAATGTTAACAAGAAGTATAAATAGACAAAAAAGAAAGTGCAATAAAAATAGGATAAATTACTTAACAAATGTAATCATATATGTGCAGTACTTACTTGAATATTCATATTAAATCGTAAATAATACTTCTACTCAACTCCATTTTGAAAGGAAAGTATTGTGGTTTTGCTGCACTGCATTTATTTGCACACTTATACTCAGAGGTGGGAGAAGTACTCAGATCTTGTACTTGAGTAAAAGTAAAAGTACTCAGATCTTGTACTTAGTAAAAGTAGAAGTACTCAGATCTTGTACTTGAGTAAAAGTAGAAGTACTCAGATCTTGTACTTGAGTAAAAGTAGAAGTACTCAGATCTTGTACTTGAGTAAAAGTAGAAGTACTCAGACCTTGTACTTGAGTAAAAGTAGAAGTACCAGAGTGTAGGAATACTCTGTTTCAGTAAAAGTCCTGCATTCAAAATGTTCCTCAAGTAAAAGTATAAAAGTATTATCATCAAAATATAGTGAAAGTAGCGACAGTAAAAGTAGTCATTGTGCAGATTGGTCCATTTCAGAATAATATATATGATATGTTTTATAATGATTGATCATGAAAGTGTTCTCAAAGCTGGTAAAGGTGCAGCTAGTTTGAATGACTTTGTATACTGCAGGGTAGCTTGTGGATTTACTCCAGGTGGAACTAAAGTCTGATTTAACACTTGATTATATTTCACACCATTCATCCACATCTGTAAAGTAACTAAAGGTATTAAATACATGTAGTGGAGTAAAAGTACAAAGTAGCATAAAATGAATATACTCAAGTAAAGTATAAGTATCTCAAAATTGTACTTAAGTACAGTACTCGAGTAAATGTACTTACTCTTACTTCACACCTCTACTTGTACTGTTATGTTTACATATAAAACACATGATATGCTGATTGTTAAGGAATAATTCTTCTAGATATCTAACCTTTTACTCTGACATGTGTTATCTCCTTTAAGGAAAGGCCTTGGTGCCATATGTGTTGTTGTCACCAGTGTGTGACCGGTCAACTTGACTGGCACGCAGGGTAATTGTTGTGAGAACACTGAAGCACTTCTTTATCGGTGTTTGTGGGCTCTAGGATGTGAAATCCTTGAGGCCATGAGCGTCGGACGCAGATGATTCAGTGTTTAGTCTACTCCTTCAGAGATGTTGATTTCTCTCTGTGAACCAGTTAAAAGGTCTAGCATAGAGAGAGGTTCTTCAGAATTGACGTGGCAACTCTACCGTGTAGTCAGAACCTCTGACTCTTTGATTTGTGATGTGAATCCTCCGGCCGAATACTCTGAATAAACCCATCAGTGTTTGACATCAAAGCTCCAACTCTCACTGTGTCTCCTTCCTGAGTCGGTGACTCCATGCATTACTACACAGAAGTTTCCTCCACACTGATGATATGCTACAGTACCCTAACTAATCAGGTTTTACAAGTGGAATAGAGAATGTGCAGTATATCAGAATGTCAAAGTGCAGAGACAGTGACTTAATGACTGCTCATGAGGCTGTCACTAGGTAAAGAAAAAGGAGCTTAACACTCAAAACTTCAGTGTGTGTGTCACTGAAACTTCACGAATAAGCTTCCTCAACTTTGTAGTCTTCTACGACATTCACAGCTGCAGCTCGAATGTTGAATTGTGATTTGTTGTCTGCAGCGTTGTGCCATATCCCTTGTAATCCCCATACTTGTCTTATTAGAGAGGGGGATTTGTCACGCTCCAGAAACTGTAGCGCTAATGTCAGCGGTAATTGAAGTTTGTCCTCAAAGTAAAACTTCATAAGGACTTCTGTGAATATCCGTCAGATAGCTACACAAAAGAGGCTGAGCGTGACCTTTCCGATTAGTTTAGTCTGTCTTGCCAGATTTGTTGTTCTACCGTAAAAAACGACACAAAGATGTCTTTCAGATACCAGTGTGTGATGTCCAAGGTCATCGTGTGTTATAATTTCCTCTCGAGGCCGAGGAGAGGAACAAAAGCAGCTGCCAGGTGCCGGCAGGCCGCTCTAACACCTGGCAGAGGGCCGTTTGAAATAGGCCAGAGTCAATGGAGTGGTGTGGTCCTAAACCTGGAAGGGAGTTAGCATTTGAGCTATTCCAGGTTCGCTACTCTTAAATTCAATGGTTTTATTAATTAGTTTTCTGTTGTAAGCCTGAAATAAGGTCTGTGGTTAACACAAGCTGAAGAGATTTTACCGTTTTGTTCTACGACATTAAATACATCAGTAAATACCCCACTGGTGATTTTAAAAACAGAGGTTGCTAACAAGTGTCTAAATGAGACGATTAAACGCCATCACGCCCAACATTAGCCACCTTTAGCTTAGCGGTGGTGACGTGAAGTCATGTGACCGTGCTGTAGTTCCTTTATAGCCCAACATTAGCCACCTTTAGCTTAGCGGTGGTGACGCGAAGTCATGTGACCGTGCTGTAGTTCCTTTATAGCCCAACATTAGCCACCTTTAGCTTAGCGGTGGTGACGTGAAGTCATGTGACCGTGCTGTAGTTCCTTTACAGCCCAACATTAGCCTCCTTTAGCTTAGCGGTGGTGACGTGAAGTCATGTGACCGTGCTGTAGTTCCTTTATAGCCCAACATTAGCCGCCTTTAGCTTAGCGGTGGTGACGTGAAGTCATGTGACCGTGCTGTAGTTCCTTTACAGCCCAACATTAGCCTCCTTTAGCTTAGCGGTGGTGACGTGAAGTCATGTGACCGTGCTGTAGTTCCTTTATAGCCCAACATTAGCCTCCTTTAGCTTAGTGGTGGTGACGTGAAGTCATGTGACCGTGCTGTAGTTCCTTTATAGCCCAACATTAGCCACCTTTAGCTTAGCGGTGGTGACGTGAAGTCATGTGACCGTGCTGTAGTTCCTTTATAGCCCAACATTAGCCACCTTTAGCTTAGCGGTGGTGACGTGAAGTCATGTGACCGTGCTGTAGTTCCTTTATAGCCCAACATTAGCCACCTTTAGCTTAGCGGTGGTGACGTGAAGTCATGTGACCGTGCTGTAGTTCCTTTATAGCCCAACATTAGCCACCTTTAGCTTAGCGGTGGTGACGTGAAGTCATGTGACCGTGCTGTAGTTCCTTTATAGCCCAACATTAGCCGCCTTTAGCTTAGCGGTGGTGACGTGAAGTCATGTGACCGTGCTGTAGTTCCTTTATAGCCCAACATTAGCCGCCTTTAGCTTAGCGGTGGTGACAACCAAAAACACAATAAGAAAACCATTGACTTCCCAACCCAGTCTCACGGCATTTCGTGTTATTAGTCACGAAATTAATTTAATCTATTGATTCGTGTTCACCAACACGATTTTCACCTTTTTTTCGTGTCACACAGAACGATTTTAAATGCAATGTATTTCTATTGGTAGTGTGTTTCGTGCCTGCAACACGTCTTTTTGTCCGGTCGGGTCTTGGAAGACCAGAAGCTGTGTGGTTCATAAAAACATGTTCTTACTCAATATCTTACCCTAAGCCTAACCCTATCCCTTTTATTTGAAATTGTATAATGTCTGAGTTTTTTTGCCGTCAGTGAGGAAAAGAAATGGCTCAGAGCCTCAGAATACTGACATCTGTATTTTATGTCATCTTCTTTTCCTTCTAATTTGTTATTATTTGGTGCAGGCACGAAACATACTACCAATATAAATACATTGCTTCTAAAATCGTTCTGTGTCAGAATACTGAAATCTGTATTTTTTTTAATGTCTTTTTCCTTCTAATTTGTTATTATTTACATTGCTTTTAAAATCGTTCTGTGTGACACGAAAAAAATGGCGAAATCGTGTTGGTGAACACGAATCAATAGATTAATTTCGTGACTATAACACGAAATGCCGTGAGACTGTGTTGGACTTCCACACAAGATAAGCGGAAGCTAACTCATTTCCACGTTTAAAAAATAATTTCTGCACAACTCCGCCAGCCATTCATTCGTTGCTTGATGTTCAATTGTCTTCACTTCCAATTAATATATCCTTTGTGTTTCTTTGTATATAGATGTACCAGCACGGCAGGGACCTGTGTGAGAGTCTGTGGGGCGACGCCTTCCTGTCGGTGGAGGACGAGCCTGAAGACGCAGGAGAAACTGGAGGTGAAGGTGAAGGCGGGCGTCCGTGCGGCTGCCTGACCCTCAGCCCCTCAGATAAAGATGTGATGGCCGCCCTCAGGGCTCAGCAGGACGACCCCGAGGAGCTGGACACCACCAAGACGGGCCTGCCTCAATACCGCGCCCCGTGCCAGACCAAGCTGCCCCCCCAGGCCCGAGGGAACAGGAAGGGGAACTCGGTGCTGCGCAAACGCTCACTGGTGGTCGACGACGTGGAGGGGAGTGGAAGCGGCTTGTAGAGAAAGAGAGATATATATATAGGGATTACTGTGTATCGATCTGTCTCTAGAAAATGGAGTCGCTCCTCTAACTAACTCATAGACACACACTGTCCTCATCGTTCTACATTTAATCAATGGTTTTAAATAACATCTGGTGTAGGATAGACACTAACAACCAGGATTTTCAGCCAGGATTTAAAACCATTAAAGGTGCGTTCACACCGGATGCTAAGCTAATATTAGCATCGCTTTGACCATTTGTGTTTACTAACGTCACTCAAACTAGACGCGGTGGCGAGGAGGCGGGGCTTATCTCCATGTAGATACCAACAACAACAAGATAAACATACATACGTAATACACATATCAAAGAGATGTAACTACATATACAACACAGTCTCACGGCATTTCGTGTTATAGTCACGAAATTAATCTATTGATTCGTGTTCACCAACATGATTTCGCCATTTTTTTCGTGTCACACAGAACGATTTTAAAAGCAATGTAAATAATAACAAATTAGAAGGAAAAAGACATTTTAAAAAATACAGATTTCAGTATTCTGACACAGAACGATTTTAGAAGCAATGTATTTATATTGGTAGTATGTCTCGTGCCTGCACCAAATAATAACAAATTAGAAGGAAAAAAAGATGACATAAAATACAGATGTCAGTATTCTGAGGCTCTGAGCCATTTCTTTTCCTCACTGACGGCAAAAAAACTCAGACATTATACAATTTAAAATAAGAGGGATAGGGTTAGGCTTAGGGTAAGATATTGAGTAAGAACATGTTTTTATGAACCACACTGCTTCCGGTCTTCCAAGACCCGACCGGACAAAAAGACGTGTTGCAGGCACGAAACATACTACCAATAGAAATACATTGCATTTAAAATCGTGTTGGTGAACACGAATCAATAGATTAAATTAATTTTGTGACTATAACACGAAATGCCGTGAGACTGGGTTGACATATACACACTTACACACACAAAAAGGCACACACTCACTTTCACAAACACACACACACATTCTGATGGACAGACTAACAGAAACACACTCACCCACGCACGCAAACAGACATACACTTACAGTAAATACTAGATAGGACACACACACACACACACTGAGAGAGACACACACACACACACACACACACACACACACACACACACACACACACACACACACACACACACACACACACACTGAGAGAGACACACACACACACACACACACACACACACACACACACACACACACACACACACACACACACACACACACTGATTAGTAAAAACCATGAATTAATGCTTTGGCTTTTATTTAAATGCTTGTTTTCTGAATGGAGATCGATCATGCTAGGCTAAGCTAAGCTAACGCTGTCGCTGCTCCGTCCACACTCACAATAACGTTATACTGACATAAATAAAGCAGTGAATTCATTCACCATGCCATAGACAGTCTGTAAGTTAATAAACACTGATATTTGTCCAGTTTCTGAACAGATATGAGGAGCTGTGATCTCTCTGTGTGCCGTCGCCCAGAGCTAACGGCTAACGTTTTGGTTTTCTGATTCAACGTCAGTGATGACAGGCGGAGATTCTCAACGCTGATTGGCTTTTGCAAGACGTGTCAAGTCCAAAAAATAGAAATATTCCCGTCTATCCGCGTCTTTGCATTGACCTTACATGTAATCAGGGCCGGACTGGGACTAAAAATCAGCCCGGGACTCTCTCGACCGGCCCACCTCGGTACCGCAAGTAAATACCGCTAGTAAATTGTACATGTAATCGCGACACTCCAAAAATTAACTTTGCATCCGGTGTGAACGCAGCTTAAAGGCTGATTTAAAGGCAAAATCCTGCAAGGGCTCTCACTTCAAAAAGTAATATATTGATAACATCCCACTATAGCTAACCCTAACCCTAAAAAAATTAGGATTTTATCGTTCAAAAGTCAGGTATTTTATCAGCTCGGCTCAGTTCATGATGCACGCGGGAAGTCGTACAGTATTAGTGCATGAATCAAACATCATTACCCAGAAGGCTTCACACTACAGTATTGTAAACATTACTCACCTCCCTGCTTCTCTTTTCATCATCTAGGTGACTTTAATGTGCACTAGTCAAATGTTAAATGCAGATGTGTTGTGATGCTGTATCGTGCGGTCTACATGTCATAGTGTAAGAAAAGGTAATGATAATAATGAATGTAGCTTCTAACTCAGATTACTGGCCTGAGCGTAAAGGGATCTGGAACGATAATGACTACGGAGAGTTGATACCTGAGGGTCGGTTTAATATTCAGAGTGAATCCGCAGCGGCAGGATAGGTTGTCGTATATCACCCGTGTACTGTGGATGTCTTCTTTTTTTTATTACTTCATGTATATCTAGAGCGAGGCACTGTTAGATGTAAATGTTTTGTAAAATAAAAAGGGATTTTTGGTTTTATGGACAGTTTGCTGAAACCGGTGTTTCCGTGCTTTACGTTCTCAATAAAGACAATATTTCTAAATGCCAAACCTGAGTCTGTCATCGTTCTTAAGGGCTGCAAAACAATAAGATTTGATGCATTGAAGGAGATTTATCCTAGAATTCATGATCTCTGAAGGACCAGATCTTAAATGTAGGACTATTTGGGATTAGGTTTACACATCAGATGTTATGTAAGACTATTTAAATAACGTTTACTGTAAGAGCAACATAACATAATCAATTTAAGAGGTACAATTAAACCAGCATGTTAGTTAATATCACTATTTGGTTATGTAAACAAACCAAATAGAGGTGTTAGAGTCCTAATCTTCCAAACAGCTGTTTTCAGTGAGAACATATCCAATATATAATCTTACTAAACTAATATTTACACAGTTCTTCATTACTTTTGCAAATGTTTTTAACTATTTATCCATTACTTTTATGTTACGGGTTAATCCCCTCCTTTTAGCAAACTATTCACAGTGTTTATCCATTGCTTTAAAGGTGGGGTAGGTAATTCACTTCAGAAACACTTTTTGTTATATTCCATGGAATGCTCTTAACATCCCGATAGCAATGAATACATTAAATGCTTTGACAATAAATACATAAAAAAATGTCATCTGTGGAAGCTGTAGTACTGTAAAAAACATGACCAATCATCTGAGCCGGCCCGGCTAAAATAACTGGATGGCCTACCTGCCTGTCAGCCTTCCATCTGTGCACAGACTTATCTCGTGCCCTCATTGGTCATGTGCGCGTTTGTGTGTGTTGGAGGAGGGGCTCTGTAAGGAAGGGGCAGATTTTTTGCGGTTGTGTACTTTCAAATTCTAGCGCACTCGAGCTGGTTTCTCCTTTCTTACCTACCCTGCCTTTAAGCTAACTATGCTAACTTTTGTCATCTTTTATCAAACTATTTTAACCATCCATCCATTACACTCGATGTTTTACTCCATAACACTATGTAAATACATTATATAATACATTTAAAACCTATATACAATATACAATCTCGCTAGTGGTAGCTTTTTGCAGTTCCAGACCATTTCAAATGGGGGGTATTTAGGGGTATCAAATATGAAATGCTCATTTAAATACCACTGACACCCTAGCCAAGGTTTGGTTCTTTATAATAATAATAATAATAATAATGATAATGATATTAAATGTTATTTATATAGCGCTTTTTCTGGTGCTCAAAGGGCTTATTATTTATAAGACTAACAGAAGCCTGGACACTTCCAGTGTAAACATATATATATGTACAATTTGTTTTACATAATGAGCAAACACATCTGCCACAGTTGGGGGGTCAACAGATGCAGGTTTAATAGTACGACTTTTTAACCGCCGTTCTGATTCACTGGTGTTATTTTATGTGTGGTTTCATTAGGGAACATCTGGAAACAGAGTGTACTGTTTCTTTATCAGAGACAGAAGTTGCCTTATTTAGAAATGTTACTGTAGTCCTATCTTCAAAGCCTGACCCCCTGCTGAGCAGAACTTCCCTGCATCAGAAACCTCAAAGCTCTGGAAATAGAAACAGCTCTGTGTTCTCCTCCTGCTATGCCACGAGTGGAAACACTGAAACTCAACTATTATGTTTCCAATAATGAATCCAAATGTGATGTTTTGAGGCTGACAACAATGTATTTGGACTCTCTGCTCCTGGAAACTCATGAAATCAGATATCAACACTCCATGATGTCATGCAGAGAAACAGAGGTGTAAAGTAACTAAGTAAATGTACTCGTGTACTTTACATAAGTACAATTTTGAGGTACTTGTACTTTACTTGAATATTTCCATTTCATACTACTTTGTACTTCTACTCCCCTACACTTCAGAGGTACATGGTGTGCTTTTACTCCACTACATGTATTTAATACCTTTAGTTACTTTACAGATGTGGATGAATGATGTGAAATATAATCAAGTGTTAAATCAGACTTTAGTTCCACCTGGAGTAAATTCACAAGCTACCCTGCAGTATACAAAGTCATTCAAACTAGCTGCACCTTTACCAGCTTTGAGAACACTTTAATGATCAATCATTATAAAACATATCATATATATTATTCTGAAATGGACCAATCTGCACAATGACTACTTTTACTGTCGCTACTTTCACTATATTTTGATGATAATACTTTTCTACTTTTACTTGAGGAACATTTTGAATGCAGGACTTTTACTGTAACAGAGTATTCCTACACTCTGGTACTTCTACTTTTACTCAAGTACAAGATCTGAGTACTTCTACTTTTACTTAAGTACACGATCTGAGTACTTCTACTTTTACTCAAGTACAATATCTGAATACTTCTACTTTTACTCAAGAACAAGATCTGAGTACTTCTACTTTTACTCAAGTACAAGATCTGAGTACTTCTACTTTGACTCAAGTACAAGATCTGAGTACTTCTACTTTTACTCAAGTACAATACCTGAATATTTCTACTTTTACTCAAGTACACGACCTGAATACTTCTACTTTTACTCAAGTACACCATCTGAGTACTTCTACTTTTACTCAAGTACACCATCTGAGTACTTCTACTTTTACTCAAGTACACCATCTGAGTACTTCTACTTTTACTCAAGTACAAGACCTGAGTACTTCTCCCACCTCTGCTGAGAAACATCTGACCCCAGTGTCTTAAGAAGTTCACGTCCTCCTCTGTCAGCTCCAAATGTTCTGATTCAGAACGACATCAGCTGTCAATCACGCTCGCCCTTTCCTGACCATCGCTTCAAGGCTGAAGTCAAATGATGTTATATCTAAATCAATATATGGACTATTTATTTAAACACTGTCAAAGTCTGGTTCTAGTATTATGTTGACATTTTGGACCCTTTGGTTCTGTTCGGGTTAAATTGAGAAGGGACATTGGTGGGGTTTTAAGGAATACAGAAATACACAATCCCTAACATATTGCCTTTATCTCAATTCCAAACAAATTAGATAACATATATGATTTATGTCTGCAAATACTCTCTGCTAGATCACATTTAACTGACAGCAAGTCTTCTGAATCCAGCGATTAGACCGTTCCCATTAACCCCGAACCAGTA